TATATATATATATATATATATATGTCCATTCAAGAGAGAACTGATTAGTTTGTGGTAACTGTAAGATCCAATCTCAACCACAAATCAACGGATAAATTAGAAAATTAATAATTATAGTAGTTTGGATTAAAATTATAATTAGAAGACATTTTAGTTATTTTTTACAAACTCCTCTCTCCTCTCTCATCTCTCCAACCTTCAATCTCCGGCCTCCGGTGAACATTAATCCGGCAGGTACCAAGTAATCACAAAGACTCATACTGTGATACTCATTGTGATATACTGCGATATCATTGTGATACCAACTATGATACCAACTCAAACCTTAAAAATAAAGATACACAATGTGATACCCATTGTGATATACTCTGATACCAATTTCACCGGAAGCCAGAGATTGGAGGTTGGAGAGATGAGAGAGTAGTTTTTAAAAAATACCTAATATGCCCTCTAATTATAATTTTAACTCAAACTACTATAATTATTAATTTTCTAATTTATCCGTTAATTTGTGGTTGAGATTGGACCTCACAGTTACCACAAACCAATCAGTTCTCATTTGATTAGACCTATATATATATATATATATATCAAATAAATTGAATAAATTGATTAATTAATGTAATAAGAAGTATAAAATGAAAATGATCGCAAAGACAAAAATGGAAAAAAAACACCCACAAGGACGAAAATTATAATTTACTCTATGATCAAATAAAACAAAAAAAGGATAAAGACAAAAAAGTTAACCTACATTTTTAACTAGATTTAGTTAAAGAGATTAAAAATGAAACAAAATAGCAATCACAATTACAAAAATTGTAATTAATTTAAAAGAGGAACTAAACTTGATAGTGATAACCACAAGGACCAAAATTATAATTTACTCTAAAGTTATTGATTAAAAAGACTAAAATCCTCTCTTCAATTAACCTTCTTAATAGAAAACTTTTGAGTTAGAGACAGGGATCCAATATGTGATAAATTGAAAACCACATGGATTTAATCCATAATTATTTTAAAATAGGGACCTAATACGTTATAATATACTAGAAGCGTACTCGCACAATGCAGCGAGATACATTATGATTTTAATATTTTATTTTATTTTTTATCTCAG